AGAGTGGAAGCTGCATTAGAGAGAGTGGAAGCTGCATGAGAGAGAGAGAGAGAGGAAGCTGCATGAGAGAGAGTGGAAGCTGCATGAGAGAGAGTAGAAGCTGCATAAGAGAGAGTGGAAGCTGCCTGAGAGTGGAAGCTGCATGAGAGAGAGAGAGAGAGGAAGCTGCATGAGAGAGAGAGAGGAAGCTGCATGAGAGACAGAGAGGAAGCTGCATGAGAGAGAGAGAGAGGTAGCTGCATGAGAGAGAGAGAGGAAGCTGCATGAGAGTGGAAGAAGTTTCACGAACAATGCTTTGATGCTTTCCTAAGTCAGATGCATTGCTTTTAAGGGAAGTCAAAAGCAGATCAATCGTACATTATACATGTAGTACTGATACAGGCAGTGCATTAGTTAGTAAGAGTGAAAGGTATGAGTGTGTCTTTTATTTATCTAAAGAAGCTCCAAACAACATATGCATATATGTATAAAATAGGATCATACGTTTTTTTACAACGTAATATTCCTGTACGTTAATCGAATGAACTTTTGCCTAAAAGGAAAGAAATGACCTTTCATTTCAATATCTTTTTAGAAAACGTCACAACTAAATGAAAAAAAAACGAGTAACGAAAACAAATGACTTGAATGCATATTGCATGTAATATTAACAATAAATAAAAAAGCTTACAGCATCATTATCATGTTTGTACAGATATTACTCCCTATTGCTTAGAATAAATCAAAGTTGCAGTTTGTTTTTGTTTCTGCAGGCAATATTCAGTTCCTGCATAACTTTGAATACACGTTCAACACACGGACGGCTCCTGATTCCAGTGATTTTTTAATGAGTTCAGTGGTTTTTTGTAAGGTTTCAATATTTCTGACAAATTCCTTCCACTGAAGGTTGCATACTATACAACCTTGTGCGCAGGGAAACAGGATGCTTGACTTAATTAAGATTAAAATTAAGAAGGTTATTTTGACATAATACATGGTTGTACTGAGGAATATAATAGTTGGGTGTGCATGAAAAAAGCCCCATTGTATGCAGAGCATATCGGGCAAACTTAAAGATTAACTTAAGATTACGAAGGCAATAATGGTTCATATGGTCATTAGATGAGTTACAGTAAGTACAAGAGAATTGAATATTCTATTAGGTAATGCTTCATGGCTTTATAAATATTACTTTATAAATATTACAGTATTACAATGGAACAAGTTAAAACAATTTACAATATGATGTATTACAGCTTAGTACTATTAAAAACAATGAAATCTGGTATTACAATGGAACAATTTGAAAACAATTTACATTATGATGTATTACAATTTAGTACTATTTAAAATAATGAAATTTAGACATCCTGATGGTAGAAGAAGCAGTGAGTGGTTGAGTATTCATCAGCACAATGTGAGTAGCTTTGAGTAACTGGTAGTGATTAGGTACGGTTTGTCTGGTTAATTTTGTGTGATGAGGTGATTTCTTAGTAGGGCCTTAAACTGATTTGCAGATAGAGGTCCTTTAGTGCGTTCTGCAATGAATTCCAGATCTTTGGGCCTTTTAAGTGCATAGCACTTTTACATAGGGAGAGATGGATACGAGCGATATCGAAGAGTGATTTGTGTCGCGTATTATGGTTGTGTGTTCTGTCAGACTTATCAAGGAGGAGTTTGAGAGGAGGGTTTATATTTGAGTATAGTGTTCTGTATATGTAGTAGGCACAATAATAAGTGTGGATGTTTTGCTTATTAAGCAAGTTAAGTCTCTTGAAAAGAAGTGGAGTGTGTTGTCTAATGCAGGAGTTAGTAATCAGTCGTACTGCAGCTTTTTGTTGGGTTCTTAAAGGCTTAAAGTAGTAGCAGTAGTAGAAATGATAGCAGTAGTACTAGCAGTTAATAGTAGTAATAAAATTAGTAGTTACAGTACAAGTAGCAGTATAAATAAAAGTAGTAGTGACAGCTTAGTTGTAGAAGAAATAGCGGTGGTAGTAGTAATATTAACTGGGGTTGTGGTGGTGGTAGAAATTGCTGAGGTACTAGTAGTAGTAATGGAAGTGGTAGTAGCAGTGGCGGTAGTAGTAGTGGAAGTGGTAGTAGCAGTGGATATAGTAGTAGCAGTGTTGGTAGCAGCAGTGGTAGTAGCAGTAGTAGTATTGGTGGTAGCACTATTGAAAGTATTATTGATAGAAGTAATGGTAGTAGAGGTAGTGGTAGTAGTAGTAGTAGTTGAAGTAGTATTGTAATAGCATAATAGGTAGTTAATAGATGGTATAGTGTAAGTGGTGGTGGTAGTTGTAGAAATAGTAGTAGTAGTAGTAGTAGCAATACAAGCAGTATTAGTAGTACATGCAGTAATAGTAGTAGAAATAGCAGTAGTATAAGTAGCAGCAGAAACAGTAGTAGATGAAATAGTAGTAGAAGTAGAATTAGTAATAGTAGAAGAAGCGGTAGTAGCAGTGGTGGTAGTATTAGTAGAATTTGTTGAAATAGAAGTAATTCAGTTGTGTAGTAGCAAGGAGTAGTAGTAGTAGTGTAGTAGTGTAGTAGTAGTAGTGTAGTAGTGGAGTAGTAGAGTAGTAGTAGTATGGTAGTAGTAGTGAGTAGTAGTAGTAGTAGTAGTGGTAGTAGTAGTAGTAGTAGTAGTAGTAGTGGAGTAGTAGTAGTGTAGTAGTGTATAGTAGTAGTGTAGTAGTAGTATAGTAGAGTAGTGTGGGTAGTGTAGTAGTAGTATGATAGTAGTAGGTAGTAGTAGTAGATGAGTAGTGTAGTAGTATGTAGTAGTAGTATAGTAATATGTAGGTAGGAGTGTAGAGAAGTAGTAGTAGTCGTTAGTAGTATATGTAGATATGTAGTAAGTAGTAGTATTAGCAATATTAATAGTAGTAGTAGTAGTAGTAAAATAGCGGTGGTGGTGGTGGTGGTGGTGGTGGTAGTGGTGGTGTGTGGTGGTTGAAGTTATAGAAATAGAAGTAGTAGTAGAAATGGAAGTTGTTCAGTAGTATTGGTAGAAGTAGTGTTAGTAGTATTAATAGTCGTAGGCATAGTGTCAGCAGTAGTAGTAGTAGTAGTAGTCTTAGTATTAGTAGTACTATTAGTACTACTACTAATGCTTCTACCACTAGGTAGCAATATTAGTAGTAGCACTAGTAGCTGTAGTAGTAATTGACAGTATCAGTAGTAGTGGTTGTAGTAGTATTATTGGGGGCAATAGTAAATAGTATTATTGATAGTTGTAATAGTCTTAGTGGTAGTAGTATCACTAGTATTAGTGGTGGTGGTATTAGCAGTAGTATTGTAGTAGTAGTAGTAGTAGTAGTAGTAGTAATAGTAGTAGTAGGAGCACTAGTAATAGTAGTAGTGCTAGTAGTAAATGGAGTAGTAGGAGTAGTGGTTGTAGTGAAGTGGTAATAGTAGTTGAGTAGTAGCAGTGGTAGCAGTATGTGGTAGTAGCAGTAATAGTATAGTATGGTGAGTGGTAGTAGTAGTAGTAGCAGTGTAGGTATAGTACTAGTACTGGTAGTGGTAGTGGTAGTAGTAGTAGTAGTAGTATTAGTGGTAGTAATAGTAGTAGTAGTGGTGGTAGTAGTATCACTAGTATTAGTGGTGGTGGTATTAGCAGTAGTGGTAGTAGTAGTAGGAATAGTAGTAATAGTGGTAATAGCATTAGTAGGGGTAATAAAAGAAATAGTAAGATTGGTAGAAGTAGTATTACTAGAACTAGCAGTAGTAGTAGTAGTAGTAACAGTAGTAGTAGTAGCAGTAGTAGCAGTAGCAGTAGTAGCAGCAGTAGTAGTAGTAGCAGTTGTAGTAGTAGCCGAGGTAGTAGTAGCAGTAGTAGTAGTAGCAGTAGTAGTAGATATTTTTCTTTTTCCTTAATTTTTCTTTTCCTAACTTCTGGTTTTGATTTAGCTCATAACTTGGGAGAGCCATGTCCCATCGACTCTAAGTCCGTGATATTGTTGGCACGGAATTTTAAGGATTCAGTTGATGTTGCAAATTCACTGGGTGTTTGCTGAAGTTTCCCATTAATCGCCTGTATCTCTTAACTTCATTGAATACAAATTCCTCCTACATAGTTGAACTATATTATTGCCAAGCTTGAACTTACATCAGCATTGTCAGTTTCAGCTAAGACAGCTGAACCCGATGATATACGTGTTCTCATACTTCAGCATTTACCCTCTTTTGCATTAGACACGTTATTATCGTTCATCAATCACGTTTCATCTACTGGACAGGTACCAGCACAGTAGAAATCTGTTGCCATCCTTCCACATCGAATGCCAGGTATGTCCGGCAATGATTTCCTCTCATTATTGATCCATATTCTTTACTTGCTTTATTTGTAAATTAAAGGATGTATAGTTAACAGGAGACTAGAATGATACTTGAATACACACAGATGCATATTCCCACACTACTTTAGACACAGTACATGCAGTTCCACTGTAGATTCTCTAATCCAACTCGATAGTTTTTTCGACTTATGACGGTAACACAGATAGCTCATCTTTTCGCAGATCCATTCTTGTAGCGTACGTTGCCTACTCACTTTTTGACTTTTATGAGAGATTGACTCTTTACTGTTGAGATGAGTGACAGTTATTCTTCAGATTTTGTTCAAGTAAATAGCTTTGCACATGTTTCTTGGCGAAGCTTAGTTTTTATTAGCTATTTATGGTCTAGCTTCGGTATTATCTCACTGAATTTGGTCCTCTTTATTTGTGTATAACCTTGTAATTGCATTTGCTGTAACATATATTCAGAAAGTTTTCACAGTATATATCACAAATGCAATTCTGACAAGATTTTATGAAGAAAGTTATGAACAGCAGGCAACTGACACACTGACCAGGAGAGGTTGTCACCACCATCCATAACACATCCACCAGGTCAGATTGTCACCACCATCCATAACACACTCACCAAGACAGGTTGACAACACCATCCATAACACACTCACCAGGACAGTGGATCACCACCAAACCTAGCCTAATACTCACCAGTATACGGCGTCACCGCCACTCATGACATAGTAAGAGCACCAGCAGGCACCACCACAGCGCCCACACATCAGCTAGAAGTGTAACGCAGCCTGCAGTATGGACAGCTGCAGATTCTTCACCTGAGTGGAACGAAATGTAGAAACATTAAAATATTTCTATATATAAGATCATCAAGATATGTACAGTATATATTACGAAAAGTAAAGTCACCTATGTTTGTGTATCAAACTGTTATTTAAACTACTCAGTGAGAAATCAAATCCCAGATGGTATCTCAAATAAGAAAAAAAAGGTTGCGTGACTATTTCGAATTCATTTAGGATTCTCTTCAGTCAGAGATCGAAATATTTATAGCCAGTTTTCCTTGTTTTCAAAGAGGCCTGAATAAAAAATTTGTCCTTTTAAAAATATTTAAAATTTAAATATCATTAATGTGAAAATAATATTTGCCCCTTAATAATTACACACTTCATTTCTTGCAAAACCCTCTAACCAAGGCGCCTAAAAACTTACTAATATTTAAGCTACCTGATACACACCATCATTAAGTTGGTGCTAATTTTGTTGACATAAGAAACTTAATGATAGTTTTAACGAGAAACCCTCGGCATGGAAGAGGTATTCATAGACAGTATTAAATACCAAGACATACTCATTGGTGTTATTCCATACCAAGGGGTATTCAAAGATGGTATTTCTTACCAAGAGGTATTAACTGATGGTATTTCAATAACAAGAGTTATTCAGTGATGGTACTTCAATACCAAGAAATATTCAAAAATGGGTTTTTAACACCAACAAATATGTAAAAATTACACAAATGCAACACTGAGATATATTTTATGGAAAAATTTCTGGTCACTGAGAGCTTTGCTAATCAGAAGTGGACTGACAAAACTACCAGTCAGCACAAGGGTTTCGAAGTACCCAAGTGCAGCTCTTGCTGCAGTTTCCATAATAATACGAGGCTTCATCAGATTGGCTTCAAATTTTCATAGCTGATGTACTGTAACATGGATTCACAACGTCCACTAGGGTTCACCACGTCCACTAGGATTTACCGCGTCCCTAGGATTCACCACGTCCACTAGTATTCACCACGAACTCCAGAACTCGACCAAGTGCATTAGGACTCATCATGTACACCGGTACTTACCATACACAACATTAACCTAGTATAACTATCCTTACGTACACCAGGACTCAAAACGTACACCAAGACACCACTTGCACCAAGCTCACCATGTGCACAAAATCTAACTATATTCAACATGATACTGCTTGCAGTGATAACGTGCACCAGGTTCACCATTCAGTACGTGCGCTACGACTCACCTTGTGTACTTGGACTCAGTACGTACACCAGTACTTGTAGATGAATGGTTCAGAGAACCGACAAGTTGATAAATTAGACACATATGCAACACTTGGGTATCTTTATTGAGGAAACGTTTCGCCACACAGGAGGAGTTTGAGGTAATCGGTCCCTCATCCTTGAGTCGATGTGGTCAGTCCATCAGTCTTGAAAATAATACAGCATATGTGCGACGAAGTAGCTGCTATACCGTAGGCAGGAGAGGTGCAGCTGTCGTAGGTGGTGTCACATTTATCCAATGTGGAAGTAGGTCGTGCCCAAGGGTTAGGCAAGTGAAGAATTCCCTGTATTAAGATCCCAAGATTTTGCTGTGTCAGACAGGAATGTAGATGAATGGTTCAGAGAACCAACAAGTTGATAAATTAGACACATGTGCAACACTTGGGTATCTTTATTGAGGAAACGTTTCGCCATACAGTGGCTTCATCAGTCCATACAAAGGAGAACGTTGAAGAACAGGAGGTCATGCCTAACCCTTAGGCACGACCTACTTCCACATTGGATAAATGTGACACCACCTACGGCCGCTGCACCTCTCCTGTCTACAGTATATAAGCCACTTCTTCAAACAAATGCTGTATTATTTTCAAGATTGATGGATTGACCACATCGATTCAAGGCTAAGGGACTGATTACCTCAAACTCCTCCTGTTCTTCAGCGCTCTCCTTTGCATGGACTGATGAAACCACTGTGTGGCGAAACGTTTCCTCAATAAAGATACCCAAGTGTTGCACATGTGTTACACCATTACTTACCACATGCACAAAAACTTCTCACGCTCACCAGAACTAATCGTTCATTAAGTGTGTATGACTCAGAACTGCCTATGTCCATCAAGATTCAGCATGTGCTTTACTGCTTAAAACATACACCAGGACTTACACTTCACCAGGAGCATCATAACTCGGAGATTTAAGACACATGTGCAACAGCTGGGTATCTTTATTGATGAAACGTTTCGCCTACACGGTAGGTGTCTTCAGTCAAATACAGAGAGAGCAGTGGTAGTGAAATAAAGACGATGTAATCAGTAGATCAAAGTATTTGAGGTAGTCAGTGCCTCAGCCTGGAGAAGAGCTCAGTTCCATGGTCTGGAATAGTGTGAAACTTCACTTCGTTCCAGACGTTTCATCAACAAAAATACCCAACTGCTGCACATGTGTCTTAATCTCAAACTTGTATGTATTTTACATCATTTTCAACATAGCATCATAACTCACCACATGCAAAAGGACTCAACAAACACCAGGACTCCCACCGTGCACAACGATTCACCACGTGCTCAAACTTTCTACAGGACTCACCACGTGCACAACGACTTACCAAGTACACTATGACGATTGACGTCAAAAGGATTCCTCACTTCTTCACAAGGTTACCACATGCATCAAGACTCACCTGGATTACACAAGAAGTGCAGTGGGACTCGCTACGTTCATTAAAACTGATCAATTAGACTGTGGCGTGCGTCAAATATGTTACACGTTATTAGACGTTCGTCACTCAACCGCTGGTATATTCTCTTGACCAGCGAACTGGTAATTCAGAGAATAGCGGTTGTGGGGGCCCTGGTACTGTATTCATTGTTCAGTTCAACAAATCAGGTGAAAGCACGTTTCTCCAGCCTGGCTGGTTGAGCAGACTCTGGTCGAATCAACTGGTTGTTTTGAGTTGCTCTTGGTTGGCTCATCTTTATACTGATAAAGTAATACTTTTAACACTGTAAATATTGTAAATGAATAGTGGAGTACATATGTAAGGAAATCTACCCTTACTGTTTTTGCCTTGACACTGTGTTGACTTGTTGATCGCTATATTGTTGACTTTCTTTATGATCAGGTACTACAGGCCTTGAATTACTGCCTACTAACCAAGACTCAGCACAGGCGTCAGGATTCACACGTGCAGCATGACTTTCCACGTACAGTAGGACTCATAATATGCACCAGGACTCACATTGTGCACCTGGACTCACCACGAAAACCACGCACACGTGTACCAGAATGCATCTTTCAATTACCACGTGCACCTGGACTCAATACCTGAAGTAACACTGACCAAGAGTTACGGGATTCAGATTTCTCAATAGACAATGTGACTCACCATGCGCACTGCAATTAACTACTCTCCATTAATATTTTGGAAATTTATTTATATTAAAATAATTAAACTATGCCTTTTAATAATTTGTAATATTATCTTCAATTGAATGTATGGAAGAGTGGGTAATTACCACATCGATTCTGAAAAAGGCGCCTCAGTGTTGATATTAAAGCCTAGATATGTCTGGGTCGCAGCACTATCCCTTCAACCTCAAATCATGCTAAAAGATGACCTTAATACAGTTCAGTAACATCAAATCATTAAAGGCATTGACAAGTTGTCGAAGAAAAAATAATATACCATTTTCTGTACTATAAATTGGCACATACACAGCATAAAACGAATACGAACCTTCCATTGTGAATCACCAGCGTTGAAACATTATAGCTAATCAGAAGAGGGATTGTCTGGGTATCTCAGAGAGTATAAAATCTCAAAATACATCGGCCCTTTAATTTTTAAATCATTAAGTAGATGCATTTTCAAGTTTCAGGCGACGAAGGATTGAAGCCGATCAGATGAAACATACAAAAAAAAAATATTCCATAAATATCAGTATCTGGACATTTCCAATTTATTTTAATAATTGGCAAAGTGGCACCAACCCAACACAAAATCCAAAACTTTTCTGTAAGATATATCACAGTTGAAAGTATGAAGAGACGACCAAAAGTAACATTGTTAGAAACTGTTAGGTTAAAGGACACATGTACATATAATGCTACATTTTATTGTGGCAACGTTTCGCTCTCCAGGAGCCTTGTCAAGCGGTTACAAACAGTACAGGGAAACACAGGGTATATGTTGATATTAGAGTGAGATGTAAATGCCTAATATAACTGCATACGGCTAACTATCCCATGTTGTTAGTAATAGTAGCAGTGGTAGTGGTAGTAGAAATAGTGGTAGTACTAGTAGTAGTAGTAGTAGTAGTAGTAGTAGTAGTAGTAGTAGTAGGAGTAGTAGTAGTAGTAGTAGTAGCAGTAGTAGAAGGTGGAGGTTGAATCCCCTCGTGTGGTACCCTCTTCTCCTGTGCCTCCACAGACTTCTCCCCCAGTCCCGTTCCAGCCTCCTTCTCCTGTTCCACCACAGAACTCTTCTGTGCCCTCCGACACAGAAGAGTCCTGGACGGTTTTATTGTTCTGAGAATTCTTACTATCACTTCAAAGATGGCAAAGCTTCCTTTATTCTGTTTAATTGTGTAAGAAATAACGATTAAGGATGAATCAAGGAATTTACGTCTGTGCAAATTGGGTTCTTTATTTACGAGGCGGATGTCGTTAAATTTTATCAGGTGGTTGGTGGAATTCCGGTATTGTATGCACGTGCTGTTCACGTTATTGTTCCTGCATGCGTACAACACTAGAATTCCGACAACCACTTCGTAAAATTTAACGACGCTTTTCTTGTAATTAACAAACTCAGTCTCCACAAACATAAGTGCCTTTAATCCTTCTTAATCGCCATTTCAAACACAATTAAGCAGAATAAAGGCAGCTTCGTCATCTCTGAAGTGTTAGCAAGAATTTTCCTCAAAACAATAAAACCCGCTATCACATAGCCACTACTGCTGCTGGTACTATCTCTGTTACTACTGCTACTACTACTACTAGTAGTAGTACCACTACTATTACTACTAC